TTACTGGTTTCGATAGCTTGAACGATGGCCTTCTCTTATAATCCAGAGTGCATTCCATAAAGTACTATTTCTCCGCATCTGTTACAATCCCCAAAACTTTATCCAAATCGTACTCATCATTTATTTCATTTGCTTTGCGCTTTCAGCATGTCAAGGATGGTTCCATCTGCACGGTAGCTTGAGCAAAGCCCTGTTTGAAATCATCTTTTTTTTACCTCAACTAAACTAACAATCCTATTAGTTGTAAGACACTCTATCGCATAATCAAGATTTTCCTGCCCATAACAAGCTTTTCCGATATGATTTTGAAATTATTTTCATAGACTGATACTCTACTGGCAAGATAACAATAAAAATAGATGAATTTCGTTGCTTCATATGACATGTTGAGTGGGGTGGTTTTTTGTCAAAGTTCTAATTCAGCCATTAAATATTTAACCACATCTTGGAGTTTTTTGCATTTTAGGTCCACTGAACCACACGAAAAAATGGGGTACATGTCGATGTCTGGATTCGGATCCTCGCTAAGTTCGTTAAATGGCTTTGAGGGGGTCTCAATAAATACGGTGAATTTAAGGCTATTTTTTGATACTAACGATCGCAACATCTCTTGAAATGCGATATCGTTTCTGGGGAAATATTGGTCGCCATTACTCAGGAATTTTAATACCACTGCTGGGTTTTCCAGAGTAGGTATTTTGTATATGTCGTAAATAGATTTTTTTAAATTCCTCAATAGTTGTAGATTCTATATTAGCGGGCCACTTGGATGATTTAGTCCTTTTCGGTGCTACAACGACATCGAAATCTGTCTTGCAAGATGTGGGTTAGTAAAGCTTGAAGACTAAGCGAAAAATGTTCGCATATTTATACCATAAATAACAATTATGAAGACTCATTACACCTACCATATATGGATTTTCTGAGTTGCATCTCCAACTCGGCTAATTTTTGAAGTAATTCTTCCTCCCGACTCGTTGTGACAGCGGCTTCAAAAGAATGTGAATGTGTTCGTCAAGCAACGAATCAGAAAAGGGTCCAAGTTAATAAATGAAATTATTGCGGAGAAAGCAGTATAGGCTTGGAATATTCGAATGCAGTCGTGGTATTACTTACCCTGCTCTTTGCCCTTAATTACATTGACTAAATCTGCTATTATTTCAGCCAGCAAATTAAAAATCATAAAAAAGCCATAAAATATTCATATGCAAAGTTGAAAAGGCATATATAAACATTTCAGAAGATAACATTTCTGTAACTCCTGAATTTAGTGAAGAAGTTAAAAATGCATTAAAAGAAGAAACTCGGGATAAAAAAGTAGAAAATCTTAGAAAAATATGGCTACTTCTATGCAAGCTCTGTTTACTTTGGAAGCATTATTGTTGAGAGGTTAGAAAACATAAACCAGTCAAGTATGTTGAATTTGAGTGATGCCAAAGAAAAATCAAACTTCAGGATTTCGAGTTTATTATTTATTATTTACCGTGATACATATGACACGTACTAAATTTACTTAAATATCATATATGTCTCCGATTAGGGCTGAATAATGAATAATAAACTTGTAAACCAGAAATATAGTTTTCCTTGGCGTCATTTATTTATCTATTTAAAAAAAAATATTGTTGCGGATGATGCTGAAATTCGGATAATGAAATTAATACATCTGATTGATTTAATATTGTTTAGACGAATACTTAAGTTCTAAAGAATTGGATATCACAGCTAATAGTAAACTAAAATATGCTGAAGTAATGCTGATGGTGCTTTGAAAAGGAAAAAGGGCAACAAAAAAGTAATAGACATCACTAATTGATTGGTTAGTTAACAACTAATCGATTGAACTTTTTAGACACCAACTAATCGATTAATCGATTAATTGCAAATGAATCGATTGAAAATTTATTTATTTTACTTATTGCGGTTTGCAAAATTATGTGGAATTTGAAGATCATTAAAAAAAAAAGTAATCACGATTTCTGATTACTGATTTCCGGTTTCTTCACCATTTTTTTGACTTTTAGTTTAGACAAAATTTGTGCAGTTATTATT